GGGGGGCAACATTATCATCACCTGAAAATCTTGTTGTTTTAATGAGAAAGGAAACATTATTTGCAGCTCTTTAGCAAAAAGGTTTGTAAGGAAAGTACCTCAGCCAAAATAAGGGTATGCCTTTAATTTGACTTCCAGTTCTGGGTAGAGGTCTGAGCAAAGCAGTGAGTCAATCACACAAAAAGGAATTGCAAACAAGCTAGTGAATGCGATTTAAAGCAGAACTAGGGTCTTCGATGCCACGTGTGTGAGCTTCCTCACTGGTGCTGGTATCTTCTACCTGGTTCAGCATCTTCAGCCATCTTGATTGGCCAGCTTGGCTGACACAACACTTGAACATGCACATGGGAGTTAATTTATCCCTGCACCAAGGCATGACAAGAATCCCATTAGACCATATTGGTGTAACCTACTTCTTGGAGAGCACACTCAGGGAGGAATTTATCAAAACTGGAGCAGACAGAACCTGGAGCAGTTGGCCATGGTAACCAATACACATTTCTCTTCAGTTTGCTCAGGTAAGATTTGAAAATGAGACAGAGAAGCTGAGTGGTTGCAGTGCAAATCTGCTCCATCTTTTGTCTGCTCCAGTTTTGATAAATTCCCCCCTCAGTATTTTTAAATTAGAAAAATGTTCTTTGCTCTTATTGATGATAAGTCTTTCAGCTTTGACAATCTTGTTATAGTTTTTGTATTTTACATTCTTTCTTTTAGTTCCCTTGAACCAAACTGAATATAACTACACTCTGCCACAGATCATCTCTCCAGTTGCTTGGTATGCCATATACGTGGACAAGTACACCTGTCTGATGAGCTATGAGGACCCCACTTCTGATGAGATCACTTTTCAAGTCACTCTACTCAACCCTGATGCTGCAGGGAATCCTTTTGACCATTTTGGAGCAGATGAGTCGGGTACGTGTAGACATATTTTGTAACAGCTCCTAATTAAACACAATCAAAAGAACAATTCTCCATTAAAGAATTAGGAGTTCTGACTTCACTGGCTGCACTGCCTGGGTCAGTGGCTCTGCACACATTAATATACAGTAAAGTATGCATTTTTTGTAGCATTCACAGTGTCACGGATGGATTTATGTTAGTATATACAAGTGAAACTACATCTGAAGGTGTGAGGGAGTAGTAGGGGCAAATCCACACCTTTTAGCCTGAGAATGTAAACCTGCAGTTGTTGGAGCTGTAATACATGGGTCACCATTAGTGGACAGCTAGTGATATGGCCATGTTCTTCTTGATAGTATAGTACTGGGATCTGCCACAACGATGATGCCCAAGTCACCCAAGATTCAGATGTGTCTGACGTGCTTTAAACAGCTGATGGTTACCACATTTCTCCATTCAGTGTGAAGTCTATACAAACCTCGACTTTAAGGATTCTCTGGCTGTAATTCCAAGTGCTATTTCTGGGTCATGTGATCTGTTTCTGTGCCTCTCCATGATTGTATGTCATCCCCATATACCTCCGCAGGGAATTCTAAATACAGGGTTAATGATAAGAGCAAGACGTGGATAAATCAGGACTTTCAGCCATTGGCAATTGGGTATTGGACCATAGAAGTGAATAATATTGACATGATCAGCTCACCTCCCAGCAGTCCTCTGTTTTTTGCTAAATGTGGGGGTTGTCTCTATCTGAGTTTTGCCTCAGTTGTTAATAATTATGCTGACTTGCATTCATCTGATTATGTGTGGCCAGCTTTTGGTTTATTGTTTGTTGTATAAAATGAAAACTTTTATCTAAGGACTATCTAGGCATAAATGACCAGGGAGGGAGAGCTTGTGCTTTTTATGCTATGTATTATTATCTTGTAGTTGTAATCCTCCAGGACTCACAGATATTATTCTGGTTCAGGCTGTGACTATCATCTGTAAATGTGAGCTCATGTCCATACGGCTTAGGTTCCTTTAGTGTTTGTATCAGCTTGTTTTGAAATTAAGTAATAGACTATTGCATCCATCCACTTGATATAAAAGTAATAATGCTAATGGCATATTTTATAAAAGATTCTAATAAAAAAAAAATATCTTTTCTAATTTCCTGAACATTCTGGTTAACCTTTTTTCTATTTTTATGTGACGGTGCCACTAATTGTATATCTTTAGTATTCCCAGCGCAGAATATGACTGATAAAATGATCTTCCATCTCACTTTAACTCTTTCATGTGCAGCACAGTATTCCAAGGTTACTTGCTAACTTAATTTGTATCCCTACACCTACTTTGTAAGATGATTTATTGTCTTTTACAACGTCCAACATTTTTTGTTACATGACCATCTTAAATCAGATACATATTTTCAACTACTGCAGTCCAGAAAGTAATTTTTTTTTTCCTCTGTTCTTTAGTAAATGGATTGAGAGAGCCTATTTTCCCCTATCGCCGCCTGTGGGAGCCTGTTTGACATACCTCAGTATTAGAGGCATGTACATGGTTAAAAGAGAAATAAACCCAAACCTTTTTTTTTTGGCTTTACTTTTACTAATGTACTTCCGTGACCCAAGGCAGCATATAGTGGCCTAGTGCCAAGCCGAGCTGTTTGATCGGTTGGTTCTGCCTCTCTAGAACCAGAGCCAGCTGTGTCCACCATCTTCCCTGTCTGTCCCTCCAGTAGGTGCTGGAGCTGAGTGATCAGCAGTTCCATGATTGTTCAGTTCTCAGTATATAGAGCCATCGTGTGACATCTGCAGTTTCTCTTTAAGCTACCCTAAGTGGTGTTACCATTTTACTATCTCGGTATCATAAATTAATGACTGTGACACTGGTGTTTGTTTTTTTTCGCAGGATTGCATGAATTCTTTTTCCTTCTGGTCCTTGTGTATTTTGTGGTTGCCTGTATATATATCCAAGCACTGTGGCAGACCATTAAGAAGGGCGGTCCTATGCACACAGTGCTAAAGGTACTATCAAATGCGCTGGTGCTGCAGGTCATTTCTGCCTTGGCCAACTATCTGCATTTCTCACGGTAAATACTGCCCTACATTATGGTACTTTTTTTATGTTTAACCGACTACAACTGTACATGGTTTCCTGTGCTTACCGAACATCAATCTATGTTGCAGCTTCTTCAATCACATGTAGTGCGGAGGTTTGTTCTCAAAGCCTCTGCAGGTGGCACTGTACCTCTTTGTCTGTCTGTGCACAGATAAAGAAGTATAGTGTTCAAAATAATGACAGATATTTTTTTTTTTTAGTATTTAAAAATATCAAATATTTGATTAAAAATAGTTATGTGAAAGCAAAAATACTTTTTTTTGCATGTTTTCAAATCTGTGCACCCATCAATAGTCTTATGCCCTTTAAAAAATGTAAATGTTTGGTAAGTGGGCAAAGTCATTATAGGGGCATAGTTATGAATCAGTGAATCAGATATTCCCTGCAGGTAAATCTTCCAGGTGTATGTGTTGCAAGTAACTGTGATTGATTCAGTGCCAGTGAACCAGCGGTTGTGAACGGTACATTCGCTGCTTTATGAACATACACCATTGAGTTCATGAGAAGTTAACTATTGCATACTGAAGCTGCTAAACGTAATCTGGGCGTCCAGGCTTCAATGACCTCTGGTCATGAAAGGGTTTCATTTTCCTTGTCTAACATTGACTCCACCTCTGTGCTTCAGGTACGCTAAAGACGGTAAAGGCGCTCCATTCATTGGAAGTTTGGCAGAATGTAAGTATTGAAACGCATGCCTATTGTTTTTTCATGTCTGTTTCTTCAGGTGAAGTCACAGACAAATGACTTCTCTCTTTCTGGGTCTGAACTAGTAAACATGGCCAGCAGTGTTTTATGTGTCACTTCTATGTAGTCACACAATACACTTGGGTATGATTGTTATTTAAATGTAATAGGTATCTAAATCAAACAAGAATGTAAATGTCATGTAATGATTGTAAATCATTTTTATTAGCTTCTATGCTGCTAATACAGCTCCTGAGATTAGTTATTTTCATCAGTAGGAAAATAGTCAGCATACTGCTTCTAAGTCACATTCCCCCTACTTATTATTTGTAGGTATTTGGGCTCAAAACAGATTTTCCATTGCGTAAACTAAAACTTCACTCTTGTTGACAATCCAACCCAGGGGTGAGCAAACTCCTGCCCTCCAGCTGTGGAAAAACTACCAATCCCATCATGCATCTGTCTCTGGGAGTCATGCCTGTGGCTGGGAGATTCGTGCAATGCCTCATGGGACTTTTAGTTCAACAACAGCTGGAGGGCAAGAGTTTGCCCACCCCTGATCACACCAATCAGTTGCAGCATTTGGACACCTGTCTGAATACAATAGTCTGATGGGAAAGGGGGGGATAAGGAAAAACTCAACCAGGGTGTCATGGCACCCTGGGGTGCCTTCTGGCTTTATAAGGGATGCCCTGATATTTTCACACAGCATCTTGCATCTATGGTGCAGACAGGCTGGCCACCAGCACCATGGAAACCAACGACACTAGTCCAGGGAGGGTGGGATCCATTTAGTAAAGGACGAAAGTTTGCTCCATCCAAACCTGATATGCCCCCCGCTCTCTGCCATGGTGCTGCAGATGCAGCTCCTAATATATTAGACTCTAATATGAAGGGGTAACTGAAAACTCTGATGTGAAAGGAGGGGGCTCCTGATGCAAAGGGTAGTTCTGATATGAGGGAAGAACATATTACCCCAGTCATCGTCCAGGGCAGCCTCTGAGAGATGGGATCCTCCCACCTGAAACAGGCAACACATCATCCACAATTAGAATAAAAAGGACGGTCCCTCCTAACCACCTCAGTATTTTGTGTTTCCTCCGGCCGAACAGGAGCATCGCAACGTTTGTTATTTTACTCCAGGCCTTCATGCTAGATAGCAGGGGCCTACTGAGGCATGCGGCTCTCACTCACAGGACAGTGGACCTGTAGGGTCTCATGCACAGGAATTTTCCCAGGACTGATTCCCCCAGAGTCCTTACAAAAAATGTTTGCCCAGAGGTTCCCCTCGATAATGGAAGGAGATGGCAACCATCCTCGCTGGCGTAGTGTCTCCAGATGGAGTGTCCTGCTAAAGGAATTGACGAATGACCTGATGGGCTCTCTGGCGGCAGTAGAGCTGGATCACTGCAGGGCACGGATACTGTGCCTTGTCGACAATCCACATCGACAAGCAGGGGGGCCAGCAGTGGGGCAGGAGCGTGAGTCCAAACGGGAAGGGTGATGCACACCGTTGGACTCTTCATCACAGGCTGCTTCTCCCATTCTGGGGGTTCAAAGCGCCAGCTCCAAAGTAGGCGGGTCTACAGTTGACAAGTCCCCCCCTACCTGTACCCTTCTTGCTCTGGGGGCCTACTTCGGTGGGGCAAGGGGTAGTTGGCTTACTTGATGCACCTCCCACTGGGTCTCTCTCCAGGGGGGTGCAACTTGGTCTCGGGTAGCAGGCTCTGAGCCCTTCCCTTTTATGGCATAAGTATAGGCCTCAGAGGATAAGCCCCTGCCAGCAGAAGCCAAAACACCCTAAGAGTGCTTCCTGCATAGACAAATTGTTTTTATTTCTGGGCCAAGCTTTTCTGCCAGATCTGTGTATTGCCAAAGAGGGGCATGCATGGGAGGGAGTGTCTATGGTCATATCTCCCTCACACAGACAGGATCTGGCTCCCCAGTTACTGGGGATGGATCCAGGCAGTAACTTATTTAGGACAGCCTGGCTGTTCACCTTCTTTCCCTGGACTTTGGCTGCGCTCTCCCCTCTGATGTACACCTTTTACTGCAAGGTATTTTCTTTGCAGCGTCAGTGTCATAGAAATCCTGAGACTGCAGGGCAAACACTCTGGTGGAGGTATTGCGGTGTGCTTTGGGGGGGCTCAGTCATGTTCATATGCCTGCAGACAATGTACTGGGCAGATGGGGAGGTATTGGGGTGGCGACTGAATCACCCTGTTTTACCTGGAGAGGCAGACAAAGGTGCAATTTACAGGCTTTGCAGATAGGCCATTTTACCTGGGGGTGAGTGCTGCACAGGTGAATGACCTTGCTGTCTGCACCGGTGGTAACCTCCAGTCAATCTGGAGCGATTACTGCTAATTAGGCTGCACGGATGTTTTTTCCCTATGTTGCATAAAGGTGGCCATACACTTTACAACCATCGCAAGACCTTAGTCTTGCGATGGTTGTAAAGTAATTTAAAAAACCGTACGATCTGCCCATCTTGGACAGGCAGATCGTACTTGCGATCATCGGGCGGGCTTCCGATGACCGCAATGTTGAATGGGCAGTGTGCGCACACCGGCCCGTTCGGCATTTGTCTCCCGAGCATGCTAAAAACCAGCCGAAAATCGTACGATTCTCGGCTGGTTTTCTAGCATGCTCCTTAGACAAAAGACGTGCGACCGTACAGTAGAAACGGTCGCACGTCTTCATTCACACTGCTCGATTCTTGTACGATCGCAGGATTTCCCGTGATTCTCGTGCAGTGTATGGGCACCTTAAGTCTTGTTTGTCACCTGGGTGGGGGCTGCTCCACAGGTGAATGACCTTGCTGTATGCACAGGGGGGAACCTCCAGTCAATCTGGAGCAATTACTGCCAATTAGGTTGCGCAGTTATATTCTTTGCCCTTATGTTGCAACAGCTTTGCTTTCCCACTAGGTTTAATCCTGATAAGGCTCTGTTATTGGGTATAGGTTGAGGTTCCTCATTTTTCAGTTTCACCTGGGTGGGGCTGCTCCACAAGTGAGACCCCATTCACACCTAGCGACATACCCTTTGCAGCGGATCCGCACGGCCGGGATAGCGCGACTTTCGGGGCGACGTTCCAGCGACGGTAGCGCGACCTTCCCCGTCGGGCTTCATAGAAAAAAAGCAAAATCGCGCAAAATCCGCCGAAAAAAGGGTCCGGTAGAAGCGACTTGCGACCGCGACGCGCGACATGGAGTTAAGACAGCTCCATTGAATAACATTGGCCGGCGACTTCTCGCGATATCGCGCGGCAAAAATGCGCGATATCGCGGCGGAAATCGCGCGACAATTCGCTATATGTGAACGGGGCCTGAGTGAGCTTGCTGTCTGCACTGGGGATAATCTCCAGACAAGCTGGGCGATTCCTGACATGGGGTTGCACCATTATATTTTGCCCTGTATAATGAAAGCATTGATTTCCCTCGAGCATTAAACCAGAAAGGCTCTATGTATTCGGCATACGACGAATAGTCAAATAATTGGGTATACCATAGCCCTGTTGCTGTGATGAGAACCAATGCATAGAGATCCTTGTACAGCATTCTATACTATAGCTGAAGCCTGTGCTACCTTTGGCAGAAGTAATAGGGTTATATCGTGACTAGGGAGGTTTTGTCCAGAGTTTATATATATATATATATATATTGGTTTTTCCTTATCTCTGGAGGCCCTCTTTTTCCCTCGAGGGTTAAAACCGAACAGGTAAGCGGATATGCTATAACTTTATCCCACTGGAATAAGGACAGGGTGCTGAGAAGGGTTATGGGACTCTTCTATAGCTCCTTAGACTGCTCTTTTTTTTTTTTTTTTTACAAAAAGCTTAATTATTTCATGAATGAATGCCTCAATGCTGAGGCATTCATTACTGACTGGTAACTGCTGAGAATCAGCTGTTACCAGCATTACAAAGCCTGATTTAACTCGTCACGTACAGTGTACGTGGCCAGTCATATGGGCACAAAGTGCCGGGACGTACACTGTACGTCTCCCGTCACGAATGGGTTAATGGGGCAAAGCTTTTTTCCAGGCTATTACATGAGTATCAAGCTTGGTCTTGTATCCACCCCAAGCATGGCTTCAGGTGGTCGGTGGTCGGTTTTGTGTTTTTTTCATTCTCTTCGGGCCTTATATCTGGGTGGATGGCAAGGTTGTATTCGCCCTGCGTAGGAATGGCGCAGGAATACTGGCTCCTCTCTGAATTCAGAAGGCATTTTGCATGCTCAGGCACACGATTTAGAGAGATTTTATTTGGTACAATCAAAAGCAGTTGGCGAGTACTCTATACCCAAAAAACGGTATTGGTGCATCCCTAGTTTTAATTAAAACTATTTTTTTTTGTATTGGGACAAGTAGATTGTTATGAAGGACAAGTAGATTTGGCCCCCGCTTTAGCCCTTGGACAAGTAGTTTTTTCAAAAATGTCCACACCCCTGCTGCACCCATGTAATCTAGGCATCGTTTAGGATGGGCGGGTGTTTTTACCCACAACAGGTCAGTATATCGAAGTGACGACCTGCTTAAGTTTTCTACATACATCAGCTTCTCTATTCTGCCTATAGTATTGGAGGAGTGTCAAACCTTAGGATCATAGGCCAGCCACGTGACATTTGTTTGACCTCACAGTTGCTTCGTATTGCCTTGTGGCACTTTGCAGTACAGGTCAGGCCCAGTAATGTCTACAAAACTGCTGCACTGTTTTTCTTTGTTGGGAAAGACAGGGTGCTGAGAGCACATGTAATGAAGGGGTAAACACCCTGTTAATATTGCTTACCACTTGACAAATTCCTATGTTTTAACTCTTGAGATTGTGAGTACATTCGTTGGCGCAAACAACTCAAAAATCTGGGAATGATCAAATAAAGGTCAGAAGTCCTGGAATTGACAGGCTTTGATCAAGAGCCTAAGTACAGCTGTCCTAGACAAATCTGAAACAACTCTGCACCTTCTTGGTGTCTGGGTGTGAGTGTACACATAGGTATGTATGTACGCCTTCCTTCCTGAGAAGCCTTAATCCATGGTATCTTAGCCAGGTGATGACCGTGTGTGTACAGCCACACTCGTGGTATGATTTGGCATGTATATCAATAGAGGGTTGACGTCCCTCTTTTTATCCTGTTTCATCCATAGGATGGAAGTTGGATCTAAATCTAACAAGGCTTTAGTAGGTTTCTCCGGTACTACTTGGACTTCTGTCACTACTTGAGGAGCCCCAAGAATGTTTTTGACCTGATACAGGCTAACAAACACCATAACACTGATGTTTGGTGGCTTCGGACGTGCATCGCCCTGTCATCCTCTAGAACGGTTTATGACCAGCTGCAATGATGGCCTTGTACTCATCTGGGGCCGAGGGGCTAGGGTCGCCAGGGAAAATCTGTAGGAAGTCACTGAGCTGAGTTACAATCTTTGGCGTAGCACTGCAGAGTTACCCTCCATCTGTTGTGATCAGACTCTCGGTAGTAAGGTGCTCTTGCCAGTGTCCCCCCCCACTCCCCTTATTTCAGAATTTATCCTCTCAGATGCTGCCCTGGACGATGACTGGGGAAAACCTAAGTTAGGTACCTGGTAACTTATTTTCCAGGAATCGTCCAGGGCAGCATGGATTCCAGCCCTGCTTATTGAGTGGTGTGTTCAACATGAGTTTCATTGTTACTGCCTGGTGGTCCTTTCCGGCCTTCGGTTCTATGATAATACTGAGGTGGTTAGGAGGGACCGCCCTTTTTATTCTAATTGTGGATGATGTGTTTCCTGTTTCAGGTGGGAGGATCCCATCTCTCAGAGGCTGCCCTGGACGATTCCTGGAAAATAAGTTACCAGGTACCAGAGGCATATCTTAAATAAGGTACTGGTATGGATTTTGGATGGACCACATGTGATTTTTTTACACTGACCTTTTTTTTACGTTTTTGGCTGGGGTGCAGCAAAAGTTTGCTTACTTTAAAGGGTGTCGTGACTAAAAAAAAAACATTGAGGGAATAGATATGCGTGTGTATGTATATTAACATTTTCTTTCTTCGTGGAAAGTGTTCCTCCAGTATCATAAGATTCAATTCTGGCTACTAAGTGATTGAAATATCACATGTATCTGAGCCCTTGGGGCAAAAGTCTTCCACTAGTTCTGAGAATTTGCATTAGATCTCTACACGCTGATTATCTGAATGGCCACAAAAGTAGATGCAAATTAATGAAACCATGGAAGTGGTGTTTTAGTAAGAGAGCAAAGCATTGTGAGATCATTTTAAAAACAAGTGTACTTTCATGCTAAATGCAATAAAACCCTCCACAGCCTTCCCAAACACAGCTGTCATGTAAACCGCAGATACGCAAACACTTTCTGTAATGTCCTCAGCAAGTCCTGACGCCTGACTTTGTGTACAACCTCTCCTCCTCTTTTGTTGACTCCTTGGGCTCTATAGCTAACTGTGCAGGTGCGATCTAGTCCTGGTTGTACCAAAATCTGTAGCTTGTGAAGGTGTATATGTATTTATATTACAGTTGTGCTTAGTGGGGCTAGAGCACTTTCTACAGGTGTGCAGTTATTCTAATACTAGGGCTGCAGCTAACGATTATTTTCATAATCGATTAGTTAGCCGATTATTAACTTCGATTGATCGGATAAAATAATACCGTCATTTATTTAAAATAAAATAACAAATACAGCGTTGCAGACAAAGTTTACTTCAGAGTAAAACGGTATGCACATTTTTTTGAAATCGCACTGCTCTGGAAAGCAGGGCATTGCAGTACTGTGCCTTCCAGTGCAGGCGATCACACTGTGGATGGGAGGTGCATTTGGGATCCATTGAAATGAATGGCACCGCAACGCACCTCCTGCAGCAAAATTTGTCAGACCGAAACTGAAAATTACTTTTCCCACCTTATGATGTATAACATTTTATATATACAATTGTATGTATTATATTAGACATTTTAATTAGTTTCATGGATTTAAAATAATGTGAATTGTAAAACTCTAAGCCAATATAATAAAATAACCAACCTATTTTTTTTTAAATAACACACCCAAAAAAATATTGTTTTATTTTAGTTTATGTAGCTTAATTTTTTTTTTGCATTTTTTAATTTTTAGTCTTTTTAATTTTTGTTTGTTTAACTTTATTTTTTTAAAACTTGTTTTATTTAATTTTAAAATGCAATAGCAGGCTGGCTTTTGCGCCCGCCCACTGCCTTCTGTCTATCAGGAGAGGAGGGACCTGATGGAGAAATTTCTCCATCAGGTCCTCCTCTCCTGATTTACAGCAAACATTTTAAAACATCCAATAGCAGGCTGGGTATGGCTCCCAGCCTGTGGATGCAGAGGCGGAACGGGCCGGGGAAGAGGAGGCACGGCAGGGGCCGGAGAAGAGGAGGCACGGCAGGGGCCGGAGAAGAGGAGGCACGGCAGGGGCCGGAGAAGAGGAGGCACGGCAGGGGCCGGAGAAGAGGAGGCACGGCAGGGGCCGGAGAAGAGGAGGCACGGCAGGGGCCGGAGAAGAGGAGGCACGGCAGGGGCCGGGGAAGAGGAGGCTGATGCTGATGGAATAATATACAGCACAATGTACCATCAGCTATAGAGGAATACAAATCCCAGCAATACATTATAGAGCACCATGTGGGGGGGAGTGCAGGCTTACCTGAGCAGTCTTCCAGCAACTTGCTTCTGAGATCGGGCCTGTCTATCGGTGGCTGTCATCCCCCCCCCCCCCCCCCCACACCTGCTGCTCCTTACTTCTTCTCCCCGCGTCCCTGTGCCGATCGTGGATGTGGGTGGGTGGGCGGGGCGGGCAGCGGCGAGCGTGAGGTGGGGAGGAGGTGCGGCGTGCAGCTTGTGTGGAGCCATGCACAGGGCCAACTAATCAGAGGCCGATTAATCGATAATTGAAAAAGTTGACAACTTTTTCAATAATCGATTAGTTGCAGCCCTAAACTTAATGGCACATATTCATGATGTATCACTAATATACTGTACATGTTTTATCTCCCATTGTAAATTGTATACAATACATAAATAATTGTTACAGGGCATTATGTTCTAATAAAAGTTAGAGTTATTGGGGAGTAGGGTGTACATTCCACGTCTCATCACGATGTCCTTCAACATTTCAAAATACTGAAAGTAGATTAGCCCACATGTTCCACGTATAACACCGTGGCTGTGCATTCTGCTTTTCCTTGCCTGTTTAATTACGCTTTAATCTTTTTGCAGATCTCTGAAAAGTATTTAACTGGTGTGATTCCCAGTTTTTATACAATGACAGGGTTAAAAATTTATTTTTCCTATTATAATGATAGCTTTACAGATTAACAAAAAAAAATCCACGAGTCTCTGTCATCTCTGTATTTTTCTTTACAGTATGTGACATGGCCTCAGAAGTACAGATGTTATACTTGCTGCTAAGCCTTTGTGTGGGTTGGACTCTCAGCAGAATGAAGAAATCTCAGAGTAGACCACTTCAGTGGGATTCTACCCCCACATCCACTGGCATTGCTGTGGTTGCGGTTGTTGTTCAGGTGTGTATATTATTTTCTTGCCTTTTTGGGGACCTATTCATTTAACCTACATTCAAGGAATAAGCTACATGTACATATGCAGTATGTTGCAATTGATGGTAATACTCCTGAACAGTATCTTCTGATTGGATTTTACATCTTAATATAACATGCCATGCCATGTGTGACATACAGTGTCTGCCCTGCCACTGGCTCATGTTCTTGCATGTAATATTTAATTTAGTAGTTGGTATTTGGGTGTTTGGATAACTGCAACTGAATAGTTACTGTCCACTAAAATATTAAATACAATTTTTTTTTAATGTGACCATGAACCTGGTATGTTCATTGCCAAACTTGTTTAGTCGCTGTTGTTTTCCCTTCCTACTTTCAGATGAACATACATACTCAGGCAATCTGTGCATGCGTGTTTATGTGAAATCTTTATATGTAGGACCTCTTCTTACTCTATTATTGTACTCTAATAAAAAAATCTATTACTGCTTGACTTTTTTTCACCAGAAATTAACATTCTTTCTCGGTTGAACCTATCATCTATTGATTCACCCGCCCATTAAATGAAAAGATTTGATTTTTTTAACTGAAACAATCATACTGAACAATCCTATTTGGTTTCTGAAAAGAACAATACTTTCCTAGGAGACGGGATAAATGAAAGTATAGGTAGCTGGGACTTCTAGTCCTATAGAGACAGAATGATGCGAGTATAGTGTGCAGTGACTTGTAGTTCTATAGAGCCATGAAAAATGCAAAAATAGTGTGCTAGGTTTTAAAGTTGTATAGAAGCTTTGCTAAGAATAAAGATTGCGAGCTTGATATTACATGGAACAAAACGTTGCTTTACAAGTACAGACACAAAAACCATTTCACATCAGATCAATAAAACACAACAATCTCTATACTTCCTAAAGCTTGTAAAAAGTTTTGTGATCATTTACATTTTTTCTGCTCAAAGCAGTGACATTCCTCATCTCCATCACATGACACACATCCACATTACCTCTACACTGATCTCTAATTTAGAAAAATGTGACACACAATGAACAGTGATTGTTGACAGTCCTCCACCCCTTACCCCTTCTGTATTTTTGTCTCTCGAGCCTCTCTCTATCCTGGTTTACAATGTTCATGTTTTCCTTTTTATTAAAGGAGACCTAATCAAGGTTCAATCCAGTACTGTAGGGGCTGCCTTGGCACCCACCCTACTCACATAGAGGTAGATACATCTATTGGCCCCCCCGCTACTTTAGATAAGCACACCAGAACACATGTTTCTGCATCAACAGGATGGCAATGTCTGTGGGTCCTGTATAAGAGCAGCTAACACAGGGCTAGTCTCAGAAAACTAGTGACTGTAGTGAGGAGTTAAAGGAAACACATGAAAACAACCCACTATTTGATTTACGCTTCCAGAATGCAGCTATTTTTTTTCTTTTGTGGAAACCTGTAATGAGAGATATCTACCGGCTGCCATTGATTACCTCATTATAGGAATGCTAGTTTCTGGCTTCAGTACATTGAGTAACAGAGCTGGAACAAGTATGCAAATTAACTCTTGATCCGCATACTATTTCTGGATCAGTGTCTTGATAAATATTGCAAGCATTCCAATAGCATGACAGCCAGGTATCTGGCATTTTCAGAAGGAGATGTCTGCAATGGCAGGTTACACTTTCTAACACAACATGGTTAAAACAGTTTTAGGTTTAATTGTTAATAATCTAACCTCATGTTGTGCCTGTAGGTCTCACTGGCTAACTTCAGTGGGGGTTGAATGTTCCCTGGGAAACCTCCTTGTATGTAACACCTGCATTTCAAGACAGTCAAGCCATGGCGCCATATCTCACAGTGCAGTACAGATGCCCCAATGACATACTAAAAGGCATCTACATTGCATTGTTTATTGTGATGAGGGTGTGCTTGTGCTGGAGTTTGAGAAACCCAGAATTGTATAGGAATTCTTGAGGCTTATGTGGTGAAGTTAGCCAACAGGGTAGTGCTGGTGGCTGCTGTGACCATATGAGGTTGGTTTACTAATTGTGTACTAAGGGCTTCTTCTGTTTAAGACTTACAAATCTTGTCATGCTCATATATTGCACATGTGATCATATTAAATAGTTCATGTTCAGCTAAATATGACGTTTGTAGCGCTGTAAGAAATGTGGTTCCACGCAGTATTATGGCTGTGATCATGAAGTAGGTCACATGATAGCAGGAATGTGGAATTCGTATCGCCCGGGACATGCAGTACTGGGCGCCGGGATGGTTGTTATTTTTTTCTACATTTAGCCCTGCTGCAGGCTAGCCGAGCTAAATGATGTTCGGGGGAGCCGCCGCTCATTTAGTTCAAGTGAGCTCAGATCACTGGTATAAAATGAGCAGCGCTCTTGTCCGTGGCCCCCGCCATGGTTTTCGGGGTCTCCCACTCTTCTGGGGTACCCAGGACCACGGCAAATGAGCTCAGGATGGAGAGTGGAGCGAAGAACATCCGTTCTCCGCTCTGCTCTCTGATCAGTGAGACCAGAGCATACAGCGCTCAGCTGTCAGAAACAGCACAGAAGATGTGTTCTGTGTTGGAGGGCAGGTTCCATGAAGAGAACCTATCACCTGCAAACTATCACATAGGGGATTGTAAATTAAGTGAATAAAAAAAGTAAAAAATAAAATATATATATAAAAAAAACAATCCTGCCGCCCCCACCATTTGCATGCAAGTAGATGCACGCATGGAACATTGTGTGTGTGCGTTGAGTGCTGCCGCCATTCCACTGTGTGCCATATTCTGGCAGCCAGGCAGCAGTGCTCTCTAACTCACACAGTGTGCATTAAAGGGTAAGTTCACTTTCCCAGGTAATTTGGGAAAATGGAATTACCCGCAATATTTACCTTTTGGCGAACAGTCCATTCCCTCCGCCAGTACAGGTGTATTATCTGTGTCTTTTGGGTCACGGGAGGATGTAGTTCTCTTTTAATGAACTAAAGAGGAACTACAAATACCCATTGAATACCTTAACATTTATAACCCGGGTTTTCTGGAGAGAGAAAGAGCAACTTTAGCTGTTTGTAATGACACTGTCTTTCTTATTGAACTATCTTTACTTGGCTAAAAGAAAAGCCCTCCCCTAACAGTGCAAAGTACAGTAGTGCCCAGGGGCATAAAGGAATCATTTGCATGGCTTCACCCACCCATTTTGTTTACGATTTTGTGAAAGGAGGTGAGGCATGCTAATACTTTCTGTATTACAATTGCTCCAGCATGCTTTGCACTAGTGTAGTGGAGGGCTTTTTGAGCCCTTTTAGTCCACTTCACCATACCCTGCCTGGCTACACTTTCCAAGCATAGAAGCCAAGGTTTTTTATTTACTTCACTGATGACCAGCAAGCCTGAAATAGCTGTATGCCATGTTTCACTTGCATATATAATATTTGGCTGTATCTGTGCTGTAAGCTAGTTCTTTGTACAGAGGTGACCCAGGGACATAAAGGAATGAATTGCATACCCCCACTACTGCTATCCTAGATTGAGAAGCAAAACCCTTATTTTGGGTCTTTGTGATAGAAGCGATATGCAGATTCTCTCTGTTCTATAAAGGTCCTGCAGTGTATTAAAATGGCTAGTTTTGTATTGTTTGTTGAATGCCTATATGTATATTGAATCTGTGTCTATGTATGATTATAATTGCTAATACTTTTGTTTGTATTGCAGGTTATCCTGTTAGTATGGGAGCAGTTTGAAGATACCAACCATCACAGTTACCATGCTCATCAGAGTCTAGCGGGTTTACTTCTCATTGCCATGAAAGTTTGCCTGGCTATATCACTGTCATTTGGTTTGTACCAGATTATCACTGTGGAGAGAAGCACCATGAAACGACAATTCTACATCACATTTGCTAAAGTATGCATTGTTTTGCCATTATACCACTTTTCAGTCGTATTGGTTTTTGTCATATTTCTCATTGCCACAAAATTGGTACTACTTTTTCAAAAAGAATATCTTAATGAATTTTTAACACCCATGCGTCACTGGTGTTTTTAGCAAATCTAACATTTTTGCGCACATTTATTACAACATAGTGTATTTCCACTTTTGCAGTTGAATTGGGATAGCACCTATTTTATTTTTGTTACATGTTTACATTTGCATACCATAACTTAAAAAAATTGGTGCTTACCACTTTGAATTCCCCCGAAAATAAGACCTAGTGTCTTTTTTCGTAGAAAAAAAGATATAAGACACTGTCTTATTTTTGGGGAAACACGGTATGTCCTAACAAAAGGTTTAAGATATGGAGTCTTGAATTCTGCCTAGTATATTAACGAAGGAAACTGACTTTGTCCCTTGCTCAGCAGTTCTATATATAAACCTCCAAAGAAACAAGCAAAGGTAAGAAATATTTTCAAAAAGTTATTTTAAGGTTTGCTGTGTGCCCGTAACAAACATGTAACAGGGGTTTCTCAAATTTACTGCAAAAGTGGAATAGACTTTAAAAACTAATAATAAAATACTTAAAACCTGTCACAAAGCCAAGCTATTTATCCTATGCATATAAAACAAATCAATGAGCAGTGAGAACTACATGTGAAAACATTAAATCCAGAGATATTGATATCTGAAGTTGGATACAGAACACAACTTTTCTTGCAACCCTTGGGTTTGGCCCTGTCCCTTTACCATGTTTGGAACCACCATATTTGCCCTTTTAAAGGACAGTAGCATGTTGGTACAAGTTGTCCTTTAAGGCATTTCCCCACCTTGAGTACAGCCCTCTTGGTCCACTGTATGCTGCGGAATAGGACTCAGTAGAGACACTTTCGGAAAAAAGACTGTGCAGCTTTCGCCAAATTTTGCAGTAAAGATCACTGAAACTGAGGCAAGGGTTTATTATTGGACCATGCATTAGATGACAACATGAACCAAAGGTGCAGTTGTCCTTTTAAAGTGATAGGCAGTCTCACTCAACAATTGGGAGGAAATAGAGGCAAACAGGTTGTAAATAAACCCCAGGTATTGATTCCCTGAGGATTCCTGTAGTAAACCTTTTAAAAATACATAATTAAATAAATTCATAATTGCACCAAATGTCATTCTCCATATGTTATACAAGGCAAACATGTTTAAGTGTTTTAGCATGCTTGCCTTGCAGGGTTGAGAGAAAGGAGCAAAGCCATAGAGGGGAATCTGATTTTTCTTACACAGCTAAAGTAACAGAATTATGACAGACGTAAAATTGTTCACCATAGCAAATTAGCAAGTTTTAACATTCTTGTTATGAAAAACTTTATCAAGAATTCTTATTGGTTGTTGTTGCCTATTTTTTTCCTCCCAGTTTTTATGAATCAGTCCCCTTGTTTGTAAAGGGGCTGTAATGCTGTATGTAAGACTGGGGAAATGTATAGCTGACTTTATAGTAACCTCGGTGAAGAGACCTGTCACTAGTAAATTAGCCATTTGTTTTAATTATATGGAAGATTCACATTAGTCTTGCATAATCCTGTGTTTTTGTGAGACTTTGATGACTAAAATGTTGAAAGCAAATAATGTGAATCACTGTTTTTGTTTTCTTTAGGGCTGTTTATTGTGGTTCTTATGCCACCCATGTTTTGCAGCCATGTCCTGCTTGTTTAAAGAATATCAAAGAGAAAAGGTATGTTTCATAATGTAAGCTGATTCATTTATAGGTGTTTTGTTCCATTCTGCCATACACTTCATTGCTACAAAAATATCCCTTAGTCATCACTTTTGTGCTTCTACCATTGTCCCTGAATTAATAGGCATGACTTATATTAATGTGTCAGGGACCTGTGCTTTTTTATAGTGTTTTGTCCAGGTCCAATCCTATAGGATGCTGAAGATTATTTCTGTTGGATTGGAACAGTTAAACTAGGATAGCTGCTCTTTTCTGATGATAATCAGTGGATGTGAAAGTCTTGTTAACACATGACCAAAAGCGGTCATGTACTGCATGCTCATCAATTGTTGATACGGTGTAGACTTTAGGCCCACCTTACTTTGCATTATTTACAAAGCGCACACAGTTTGAGCAGAAAAGCCTGTCCCCTGCCAGCATGGTGCAGAGAAGGACCCTTGCTCGCAGTGTAGAAGCAGTGGTTTCTCTGCAGAGGTCTGGCATGCAACCTGCTGAGCTCTCCAGTTAGTAAAGCGCATGCTACCTGTTGCAGAAAGCCTGCCTATAAACACTACACTGCCACTTTGAGGCTGCAGTGGCATCTGCAGTGCAATCAGATTTAATTGTATCTGGGATATGTGCAGTGTTTAAAAATAATATTAAATGAATCTCAAAAATAGGGAATTGAGTTTAACATTTTGCACATTTGTCAGCCTATAATAAAGAGTTTTGTTACAGGTTAAAAGCTTTTGAGATATAGACGTCAGTGGTCATGAACAGGTTAAAACAGTTTTCTCCTTTCAGTAAAAATGCTCTATGTATCTGTGTAGAACACATTCTTTGACCACTTAGTCTTTAGAAAGGGGTCCCAGCAGTCCCAAAGCACATTTAAAAAATTGGGGTTTTCAAGGAGGCTGGTTCTGCTGCTTTGGATATTACTTACAAGTAGGAGCGGTTTTCACTTTTTTTTTTTCTGCTAAACATTGAAAACCTATTTAAAGTGTATTTCCACTTTCTCAGCCAAATTGCGAGAAGACCTGTTTTCTATTTGTTACATGTTCCCATTCACATAGCATAATCTAAAGAAAATATAAAAAAAAAATACTTCTTACAGTTTAAATTGCTTTTACTTGGGTTAGGGTTTTTTGCCTTCTTAACATTTCTACTTGCTTCTTTGGAATGTTAAGAGGGGCTGTGAGAGGTTTGTTGACCCTATCCGTACTCTGCTGGCTCATTTGTAAAGTAAATTTGAACTTTACCTGTCCTAACAAAGGGTTAAATGATTACAACCCTCGGTGTCTGCATTCAAATGTTAATGACGTTAATGAGAGAAAAACAATCCTCAAATTTCAGTCCTAAGTATTTTTAGGACAGATCATTGTGAAGGTGCTCAGAAAAAAAAACTTAATTGCCTGCTGCAATACAAAATCTAAAAGGTAACACATTTTTTATTATTATTGTTTTTTTTGCTGTGTGAATCGGAACACATAACAAACATGTAGAGAGATTCTCTCAAATTTGACTGCAAAGGTGAAAGTACACTTTAGACCCCGTTCACATTGAGCGATTTATCGCGCGGTAATTCCCGCGATATCGCGGCAAATTACCGCGCGATATCGCGCTCCAATGCAATCCAATGGGGCAAAGGGTCCTGCTGTCGCGGGTCGTGTGTCGCTACAGCAGGACCCTTTTTGGAGCGGATCTAGCCGCGATTCAAGCTTGCTCAATGCAAGCTTGAACGCGACATCTCGCGATGTCGCGCAATATGCAAATCGCGTGACAAACGCGCGATTTGCATATCGCGCAGTGGGAACGGGGCCTTAAGGGAAATTAAGCAACTTTTCAGCTAATAACTATGGTGATCTTGTAGACACAGTTGTACCATGCCACACAGATGTGTGGATAGAGAAACAGTGGGCCATGTGTATGAAAAAGGCAGCTTTTCAATATTCAGGTATTTTATTACATCAGTAAACTGTGGAAACATCAAATCTCTCTTCTTTTTTTTTTTTTTCAACAATACATTTTTATTAAGAAATATATCAAGTAACAAGTAGGGTAAAAAGTGACAAGATCAGTAGTCGTGTAGACATAATAAGATCTAAAAAACTTTCCAAAGCATAAATGACATAGCGTTAAAAGTGTACAGTAATTGCATCGTACATCAATTGCACAATTACATATAGAACATTGCATATAATTTAGGTATGAGTCATCTTTATTACTAACAATCAAACTTTGATTTATAAACCAAACAATCTCTCTTCTTTTCATAGGTCATCACTGTTGGCGTGATCCTGTCTCAGTCACTCTCAATGATCATTCTTTATAGACTTTTCTTGTCACACAGCCTTTACTGGGAAGTGTCCTCTCTTTCATCGGTAACCCTTCCACTTACTGTATCATCAGGACACAAAAGTCGCTATTACCCTTGATACGGTCAAGAACTGCATTTAGTTAAATAGACCTTGAATTGCTTGACAATGAATTCCTGATATGCCCCATGGCTGGGACAGCAATGAGTTCTCTCTGCAGACGAAACATTAATATGAACCCTCTCCCTTCTATAAGCTTGGTGACAAGATTTGTTGCTGCTTTATCAAAGATCTAGACCTTGAATACTTTTTTCCACATTTCTTGTTAATCTAGTTGTTACATTATTTCTAAAAAGTGGATGATGATTAGATCCAAAATCTGAACGTTCACTAAAAATTGTCCAATGCCAGTATCGGCAATAGTGGTTTCTTCTTGTATATTAACTTGTATGGATTTGCAACATGTTTTTCTTTCTCTTTCATTGAGGGATACAGGAATTCAATGGCTGTTGCATTATACTGTCATCTACAGAAGGGTTTTGACACTGGCAAACAAAAAAACATTGCCAGCCCAGTATAATCCCCTCCTACTCCTAGCATGCCTTTTTGCTAGTGTCATTCAAGATGATTTTTTTTTCCTTCAATCAAACTCCCTACAAGCTGCGTGAGCTGGTCACTATATGTAGCAATCAGGATAGTCGTATCCTCAGCAGCAGCTTTGGAGGCTATATCCAGATCGCGCTGATTGTGGGGCTAGCCTAGAGTGTGACTCTTGGGCACTGGGCTCTACTTTGGCCAGGAGAAACGCTTTGTGCATAGGTCGTGCAGGCTGAACACCAGGAGCAAGCAGGACCGTTGGAGGTAATTTACAAATGCCCACTTTCTGTTTGTTAACCTCAGAATCGTTAATGCTGAGGGACTGACGCTAATGTCCACCACTGGGTTGAGTGTCATGGGTGAACTCTGCGTTCTCTTTGCCCCAACAGAATTCATAATTGAGGACTCATCTTCTTCTGCTTCCCCTGTTGTAAGTGACACAATATTCTTAGTTGGTCCCTGCTGCCAGCTTACAATGACATGGTCACCTCCAGCCACTTGAACCTCTGCTGCTGCCAGCAGCTGGTTTGTGAGTATGCAAGCTATTATGACCCCACCTTTCAGTCCAAAATGTCTAAATCTAGACACCAGAGGAGCAGTCATGCTATACCAGGTGCCGCCAGTTCCTCAGTCCATTCTGGTGCTGCCTGTAGTGGGCCATCTAAAGGGCCTGACACCAGCAGCCTGCAATTTTGCCCTCTGTTTTAATCTTTGCCATCCTTTTAAGTCTTTCCTTAGCCCTGTTGTGCATGGCCCTCTCCTATCTTGAAAGGTTTTCTCTGCAGTCATGCATGACATTATGGACTGTATTGCATCTTCAACTGCTGACTCCGATCACGAAGGCCACAAGCATACTTTCTTGCATTCCCCTGTAGGATGTTTATCCGAACTGCCAGTGACCATAGAGGCCTGAAATAGCCAATACTCTATCTGATGTGGAGTCTCTAAAGCCCTTACCAGATGATGTTGCATCTGCAGAGCCACAGGTGTTTGCCATTACTTCCATGCTTTAAGAGACTGCCCAGACTGTAGCTTCTAGTAGTGCTGTTCCCGGTCTGGGTCCCTTTAGAAGCCCTAATTCTGCCAAGACATTTCCAATGTATCTGCTGAAAAACTGTTCACTTTTCACTGACAGTCCTATACCTGTTGAAAGAGAACTTTGTTAAAATGTGAACCACTCCCACTGTGAATCCAGTGATATCTGGCCATAACAAGGCTTTGATGAGCCCTGTAGATGATGCACCTGTGTTTAGGGATCCCATTGATAAGCAGTTGGAGATTCTTTCCAAAACCTTGTTTTCTCTGGCAGGCACTGACTTGTAATCTCCCTTGTCCGTAATGCTAGTCTGTCATATATTCTAGCCAACCGGATGAAGACAATGAGAAGGGATTCGGCTTCATTTTCAAGCTGATCTCTTGCTTGATGAGCTTTTGGAGCTCATATCCGCAACCTTAAGCTAGTGTGTAGATATTTGCTAGATGTCTTGTATCCGTCATTTCTCGTATAGGTTTCCTGCTAGAATTCCACTCTCAGCCCGTCCTCCTCATGTCTTCCAGCCTGCCTCTGTCACCACACAGATTAGCAGATCTCCGTGCAGTCCTTACAGCTCTTCTGGAGCAGTGGGTCATCACCCTAGTACTTGCAGCAGAAAGGTTTCAGGGGTTCTGTTCCAATTTTTACACTTTTTGCAAACCAAAAGGGCAACTCTGCTCTTGCACCTAAAGGCCCTAAATGTTTTAATTAGGGCCCAGAAATTTTGCATGGAATGAATCAGGTCTATCACTGCCCCTCCATCAGGAAAACTGTCTGGCCTCTCTGATATCAAGGTTGCCTACTTGCATGTCCCCATTTTCCAGCTTATCAGCCATTCCCTTCTTTCTGTGGGCATCATTTGTAGCCCTGCAATTTGTCCTATTCTCTACACCTCAAGTGTTCACCAAGATTCTGGCCTCTGTGCTAGCTTTTTTTATGATTTCAGGTCATTTCCATTGTGGGGTATCTGGATGAACTACTGCTAAGGAAGCAATCATTGCACGATCTGATCAACATTGTAGCCTCAACTGACCAACTTTTAAAGAGGTTTGACTAGGTCCTGAACCTTCAGAAGTCAGTGCAGGAACCGACTAATCGATTGGGACACAGCCCAAGACAAAGACTTCCTTCCTCAGGAAAAATCTCAAACTCTGCTTCCAAACTCACCTCTGTAGTTCAAGAGTCTGCCATCTCTTCACTTCTGCATGACATCAACCATTATTGAGTAACCAGGAGGGATTCCTCAGCAAGAGAGGTAGACAGGATTATGTCCTAGACAGAATTACACATTCCAGCCTTGTTTACCCTTTACATCTCAGGCATGAACATTTGGCAGGCACACTACCATAGCCAGCATCACCTTGACACAGGAGAATGCTTCCTTTACCTGGAGGTGTTCCAGGATTTGTATCACAGGTAGGGGACGCTGGATGTGGACTTTTGGCCTCCAGGTTCACTAACAAATTGTACTTGTTTGTCTCTATGTATAAAGATCCTCTGGTATAAACAGTGGATGCCCTGGTGGCTCTGTGGGATCAGTAGAGCTTAACCTTTGCCTTCCTTACTGTGAGACTTCTTCCTTGTCTGCAATCCGGTGATCCTCCTAGCACCCAGTTAGCCCAAGTTGATGTGGTACTCTGAATTGATCATGCTTTTGGCAGACACACCTTGTGCTCTTCCAGATTGTCTGGATCTTCTGTCCCAGGGACCATTTTGCCATTCTGCTCCACAGTCACTGGCTTTAAGAGCATGTTTGTTGATGCCTAGATCCTGAGAGACCATCAGTGATTCCCACAGTGCTTAAGGCTAGGAAGTCTACTTCCTGCAAGGTCTACCATTGAATTTGAAAGTCATATTTCACTTGGTGCTAGGCAAGAGACTTTCACCCAGGAAAGTTCAATAGGAGGAATCGTGTCTTTTTTGCAAATGGGCCTGGATCAGCATTTAGCATTGAGTACCATCAAGGGACTAATTTTATATTTTGCAATCTTGTCCAGAGATACCTAGCCTCCCATTCTTTAACTAAGACCATTGTCAGTGGTGTCTCCCATGTGGATTCCTCTGTTCATTCCTCAGTAACTCTGAGTCGGATTTGAATCCAGTTCTCTCAAAACTTTAAAAAAAAAAAAAAAACATCCTTTGAGTTGTGGCCTTGTCTTATAAGGAATCCTTTTTGGGAAGAAATCTTCCTCCATTACCTGGATGTAGTTTGTGCTGTCCATATCGTATGGCAGTCACTGCTTCTTTTAGAAAGGCTGACTCTCTTTACCCTTTACATAGGCCATCAGGAATGATAATCATCTTGTTTCTTGGTGACAAGCAGGCCATCATCAAAGCTTGTGGTCTCGAGGACCGTGCCCCACCCTTTCCTGTCAAGAGGCAATCTAGTAGATCTATGAGCATTTCTTAGGCTTTTCAACATTGGGCTACTGATTCCACAGATTTGCAAGGCCACCACCTGGTCTTCTGTTTTACAATTTCTTCAATTTTTACTAGGTGGATGCTCAGACTCCTTCTGATGCCAGCTTTGGGTGTTATGTCCTCTAGATCAGCGTTTTTCAACCACTGTGCCGCGGCACACTAGTGTGCCGTGAGATATTGTCTGGTGTGCCGCGGCTTTGGCTCACAAATAGACCAATCATACCGGTGCGAGAGCAGGGGACGCGGGTCGGCAATGGAGCCGCGACGAGAGCTGGGAGCGTGGAGCAGCCGCGATGACATAGCTGGGGCCGTGGAGCGGCGGTGACCGGGTATAGAGCGGTGATGCAGCCGCGTGACAGAGCAGGGGGGCGTGGAGTAGTGACGGCGTGGAGAAAAGATGAAGCCGTGACAGAGCCGGAGGGGTGGAGCGATGAAAGGTTCTGTCACGTCTCCAGCTCGGGGGGAGGAGCCGGTGACGTGACAGGAGCTCTGAGCCGTTACAGAGCCGGAGCATTGATAGAGGCAATTCTGCCAGCATCCCTCAGAGGACCCCCCTTTCTGCAGGTCTTGTCACGCTCCTAGCAACTGGGAAGGTGAGGGGGTTCTTTTCCATGACACACCAGCAGTGTGCACTTGACTAGTGTAAAGAAAAAGAAAAAAAGTGGGGCTTTAACGGTGCCAAAAGACAATTCTGAATAAAAATGTCTTTTTATTTGAGATATGTATACACTTTACACTTTCAACCCAGGGGTGTGGTGCTTAAATACTCAGGCCTTGGCCAGCACTTAAATGTATGAAGAGTGTGCACTAAAGTTTAATTTTTTTAACATTTTCTATTGGTGGTGTGCCTCGTGATTTTTTTCATGAAAAAAGTGTGCCTTTGCACAAAAAAGGTTGAAAAACACTGCTCTAGATGAACCTTTGAGCTGCAGGCAGCCCCCAGGTATGTTGTTTTTTGTGGGGTTGTTTTGTGGCTACTTTGGCTGTCCCAACAGTCTGTGAATTCCTATGTCCCTCAATGAACAAAAAAGAAAATGGGATTTTTTTTTTCTCTTTACCATAAAATCTATTTCTGGTAGCTTATTGAGGGACACAGGTCACAACCCTCTGTTTCTATGATTATATGATTATGCTCTTGGTACTGCTTTTCCACATACTGGAAGAAGGAGAGGTTATACTGTGCATGCACTATTTTCTTGTTTTCCAGTCCCCAAATCCTTCTGGAGGCAGCAGTATAACCCTACAGTCTCTGAATTTGTGTCCCTCAATGAAGTCTCTGGATTTGTGTCCCTCAATGAACTACAA